TTCATGGAAATGGCTGAGTCCTTACTCAGAGGGCCAGTCTGGGATGCTGGAAGTGGGTTCGCAGGGCTGAGAGGATAAAGAGCCCCCAACACGCCCTCCTGGGCTTGCCCAAGGCCTCCCTCACCAAGGCCCGGCCCCTGGTGGGAAGGATCCAGGCTGCCTCATGCCGACGCGAGGTGGCAGCCGGGCGCTGGCGGCCTTGTGATCGTCCCCTCGGAACTGGGCTTGGTGCGGTGGCGGGGGAAGGGCAGGCAGGAATGGCTGAGAGAGCAGCCTGAGAGGTGGCTTAGGGCAGCAGCTTTTCCGGGCAAGCAGTCCCAGACCTGGCTGCCTCTTGGTTCTGACCCACCAGTGACCCGGGATGAGTCCACAAGCCTCAGTTTCCTCACCTGCAACAGGAAGGGGTTGGGCTCCTTCTGCCTCTGATTTTCCTAAGTCACAGCCAAGGACAAGGTCCTCATAGCTTCCCATGCAGTCCCAGCTGTGCCTAAATGTCCAGAAAGTAGCCAGATTTTCTAGACAATCCCCAGAACAACTGTGACTCAGTTTCCCCTCTGAGAGGACAGCTGGGGCTTGGCAGGGAGGGACCATAGCCTGTACACTTTGTCACCAGCCAGGCTCAACCCCTTCACCTCCCGCCACATCAGGGTGATGGGGAGACCCCCCCCCCCCCCGCCCCTTCACACATCCTGTTTTTCATTCATTGTTTCCAGGTGGGCCCAGAGGAAGGTGGAGGCACGGGAGAATTTAGCAGGAGGATCAGTGAGGAGCAAAAACAGGAAGGGGTTGGGAGCAGGCCATGGAAAATTCACTGCCAGGAAACAGAGGCCAGCATCTGGTTTGCATTAGGCTGAGAGAGCTTCGAAGCCCAAAGCTTGAGTGAGAGATATTGTTATCCATGCGCAGGGCAGGCAGGGTGTGACTACCCGTCAGGAACTGGCAGCTTCTCCCAGCGGGAACTCAGAGGCTGACAGGAAAAAAGAGGGAAGGCGAGGGAGAAGGGGACAGGAAACTCAGTCTCCACTGTGGCTGCCACCTCATGAATGTTATCTTCTTTGATATTCACAACTTCACAGGGGAGAATTGTTCCCATTTTTATAGTTGTGGGGATTGAGTCCCAGAGAGGTTAAGTGACTTGCCCAAGGTCACACAGCCAAGGGAATGGCAGAACTCCCGATTAGAATTCAGGCCAAATGAGATAGGGTGGAACACTCAAACCATCCCACGGGTGGATTGAGGCTGACTGTGTGCCAGGCAAGGGGCCACTGAGGATTTGGTGATGAGCGCGGGCCAGCCTCTGCCCATGGGGTCACTCAGTTCATGTGGGGGGTGTCTGACAGTGCCATGGGGCACTGTTCATGACACAAGGTGGACCACGTGTCTGAGGGCTCCAGCCCAATGCCTGCAGAGGAAAAAGCAATCCAGAGGGGAAGGCTTCCTGGAGGAGGGGGTATGAGCAAAAGAGAATTTTATCAGAGGGGGTGGGTTGGAGTGGAGGATGCAGAGAGGGGGTAGTGTGAGGAATGTGGGAAGAGGGGGGTGTAGGGCATGTCTGGGCAATAGCAGCTGGCCTGGTGTGCCTCAGAGGGAGAGATTCCATTTTATAGTTGGGGAAACTACAGCATAGAGCCTAATGTGCCCAGAGGTTCACAGTCTGGGAGTGGGGTTGAATCCAACCTCTCTGACTCCATCCAGGTCTACGTTCCTAACTGCTACACCATCTGGTCCCTTTTTGCTGGTGGTTAATAGTTTTAAGGGGATATTGAGGCCAGGGACCACAGGGCAGCGGGGGCCTTGCCCAAGGCCACACAGCCAACTAGTGACAGGGTCAAAGCTGGACAGGCTCTTTTCAGCTTGCCAACCTGAGTGGGAAGAAGACAGGCAGCCCCATCCATGGGCCCGGTAAAAACCTGGGGCCTTAGGTATGTAGAGGGAGGCTCCCACCTCCCTTCAAGGTATCTCACCTTCCTTAGGAGGGGGGCCCAGCATCTTATGCTATCTGCTGAGCCACAGGAGTTAATAATTACTGGGTTTAAGGAGACAGAGGCCTGTCTGGGAGGCGCCTCCCTCACAGGCCGCTGCTCCTCAGAGATAGCAAAGGTTAGTGTGAGTCTCAGCCTGGGAGTGGGGAGAAGGCTCCTGCCACCTCCCCGCTTGGCAGTCTCCAGAGACACTCTCGGTCTGGCCCTCCAGCCATGGACCCCGCTAAGGAACGCACTGAGTGCCCTGCCCGAGAAAAATGCCCTGTGTTCCTGGCAATGAGCTCAGGGACCGTCCGCTACGTCCCATCAGGTTTGGGCCTTGCACTCAAGGGCAACTTGGGAGAGCAGCCCTGGGACACAGACAGGTGAGCGGAGGGGATGGGGGAATCTTGCCACTCAGCAGGGGCATTGGGGGAGGGGTGAGAGGTGGGGCTCCAGACAGGGGACTGGCATAGAACTATGAGGAATTTCATGAGCATTCTACAAGGTCGGCACCAGGGGTGGCCCTGATTGTCTTGTCCAACTTGGTGGTTGTACAGATGTAGAATCTGAGGCTCAGAGAGGGCAAGACACTCATTCCTGGTCACACAGTGAACTGAAGTCCAGAATCAGGGCCTGGGTCATCTAGGCTGGCAGTCTTCTGGATGGGTCTGTGGCCAAGGCTGCCAGGCGGGGGATAAGGATGGCAGGGGTGAGGGGGAAGTTTGGGAAGGGCAGTGGCTTGGGGGCAGAGGACACACCTTTTATATTTTCCTCCCCACCTGCCGGTCAGGCACCTAGTAGGCTCCTCTTGTTGCCCAACAGCATGTAGCTGCGGCTGCCAGAGAGCCCCTCTGGTTTCTGGGCTGTCTTTTCAGAAAACCGGTATAAGGGGTCACAGCCCCTCCATCCCTGGCTGTGTGGCATTGGGCAGGTTCCTTAACTTCTCTGAGCCCATCTTTTTCAACTGAGGAGTTGTGGGAGGAGCTAGTGAGGCCTTGGGGGTCCTAAGCAGCTGCATAGATCCTGGATACCTTTGTAGTAATTGGGGTGGTGACAGTGACCCCACACTTGTCCTGCAAAGCCTCACTCAAGAGTCTCCCCAGCCCACCGGTCCTCCCGGGCTGAGGACCCTTCCTCTGGGGCCATAGCCCTGGACTGACACCCCCTCCACCCCTTATCTCCCACCAGTCCGGGTTACCACGACTTGGACCAGGTCTTATCTCCTGCCTGGGCTTGTGATGACTTGGAGGGTAAGCGCCCTGTTCTGAGCTCCTTTTGTGTCATCCCCTCCCCATTCCCCTAAAGAGTGAACAGAGCAAGGTCCAGGAAGACAGCAGTTGCTCAAGACTATTTGGAGAAGGATTCGTCAACAAACATAATGACATCTGCTTTGGGCCAGACCCTGGGCTGGGCTGCGGTGGGTGGAGAAACACAGCCCCAAGGAGGACCTGGTCCCTGCCCTTGGGAAACCACAGCTGTGGAAACAACTGCCCTGCAGAGTGAAGGAGGTCTGGGCAGAATGAAAAGGACGTCACAGAGGGCTGCCCAGGTTGTTCACTGCACAAGGTACCAGCCAAGGGGGCATGAGAGCCAGACATCAAGTCTGGCTTGCCCTCCACTCACCAAGTCCTGTACCTTGGCATGGGCCATGCCCACCTAGGAAAGGAGTACCGTTCTCTAATTTGAACTAAGACACCATTCACTTAGCAAGGTGTGCCCTGGGCAGGCAGTGGCCCTGGAAGCGGGGGTCCCCACCCCACATCTCTCCACTGTACTGGAGCCCCAGGTAGGACAGAGCCTGTGTCTATGCAGTTTCCTTTTGGGTCCCCAGCCCTTGTATGGCCCATAGTTTGTGCTCAGAAGGGGTGGTTGAATGCATGCATTCAAAATGCGTGCCCCAGATGAAGACCTGATAAACTCAAGCCTGGGGCCCCAGCTCGGGGTCTGAGGGTAGTGCCCCAAGTTCTAGCAATATCTGGAAGGGAAGTACTTCCTCCCATCCTCCCAGGCCTCCTCTAGACACGGAGGCTGGGAGCCATGGTCCCTGGCAGGAGAGAAGCGGGGTTATGCTCTCACTGGATCAGCCCCAGGCTGAAGTTGAGGCTGATGGTCAGGGCTCAGGAAAGGTGACAGAGGGACAGAGGGGTTGAGGGACAGGCTAGACCAGCGTTCAGGGAATTTGCAGAGGATGTGGGACCTGACAGGTGTGTGTGTGTGTGTGTGTGTGTGTGCGCGCGTGCGCAATTCTCCCAGAGAGTAGATGGTGGGCAAAGGTAAGGATGGGCAGTATCTGTTCAGAGCAGGAAGGGAGGCCCCTGGTTGGGGGGGGAAGGGGCGGGGTTGGGGTTGAAGACTTGGGCCGAAGGTGGGGCCTCCCTCAGAAAAGGCACTCAGTAGGAGTGAGAAAACTAGTTTTGGGGTCAGCCCCGCTTCTCACCAGGAGGGAAGTTGCCCAGAGACAGGCGCAGAGCAGGGAGGCCAGGGAAGGAGTGATGGCCGGAGGGCCGGGTGAGGGGGTGGGAGGGTGTCTGCCGGCCTTGAGTGACAGTCCGCTAAGAATCTGGGAGCTGAAAGCCCAAAGCCATGGTAGGCTCTTGAGCAGGGGTGGTCCTGGCAGGGTGCTGCGCTGGGCCGCGCTGGGCGCCGGATGTCTGGAGCAGAGTAAGCTGGGAGCGCCGGAGAGCAGTGCTGGCCGCAGGATGATGGGGACCCGCTCCTCCCCCACTCGGGCCGTCGCACTGTCCGGGGAGGCGGCCGGAGCGGGGCTGAGCCGGGAGCGCGCGCGAGTTCTCCGCGTCGGCCGCCGGAGGGGCGGGGCAGGGCACGTGTCCTTGGGCCACCCCTCGGCCACGTGACCCGCCGAGGGCAGGGTCGCAGAGGGACTGGGGGCCGGGGCGAGAGCCCGGGCCGCACAGACCCACAGGCAGCGGGCAAGACTGACAGGCGGCGGGGCAGCCTGGCTGGCCCGGGGCGGAGTCGGCTGCGGGCGGGGACGCGGCGGGGGCGGCGCGGGGAGATCGCTGGGCGATCGCGGCGGCGGCGCGGGGAACCGACGCCCGGGCGCCCCGAGTCGCCAGTATGTGGAGCGGGTAGGTCCGCGCGGGGTCGGGCCGCGGCTGCCTCCGGGGGTGGGACGGTGCGGGGGGGGGGGGTCCCCTGCAGTGTGTGCACCCCTACCGGGAGGTGCTCTACGCCCCCATCCCTGCCCGTGCTGTAGCACGAGGACTGGCGAGCCGGTTTGGGGTGGAAGGACATTCGGCATGGAGGGCTCAGGGGGTCTCTCTGGGGGCAGGAATTGTGAAGGGTGGGCTGCTGACCGTCGCGGAGTGACAGCGCCAACTCCTAGCTTGTCCGGAGCGCAAGTGAGATGGGGGCAAGGGGGTGTGCGGCGGAGTGCAAGCCAGAGTAAGCCTGGGATAAGCACCTAGAGGAGGGACCCCCAGGCTGAGTGAACCCTTGAAAAGCAGTGCATTTGCGAAAGGGGGGACTGGGTCTCTGCCACATTCGCTTGCAAGTTGGTGAACTTCCATCTGGGGCTCCTGGAACCTGCTGAGCTCAAAGGTGGGTGAGACCTCCCTGCAGCCTGGAGGGGTGCAGCGCAGGCTCTGGGCCCTGGACTAGTGGCTCCAGTACCCATATCTGTTCCTTGATTCTTAGGGGTGGTCCCAGTCCCTGGGCAACCAGGTGTGGGACCCTTTCCCTGTATGTGCAGAAAAGCTGTGGCCTTCTCATGGAGTTGGGTAAACACTTCTTCCTCCCCATAGCCTGGAAAGACCAGGTCCTGGCGGAGATGTGGCCAGAGTGGGGGTGGGTTGTACTCCTGGAAAGAACGGGGCCAGATGGGTGGTCCCAGGACAGGGCTCCTCCCAGCCACAGCCGGGGAGTGAGGGAAGCCCCACTGGAGAGGCTGGCGGGCTGGAGAGTTCTGATGCAGGCTGGATCCACTTTACTCCATGGCACCTAGCGAAGTTCGGAGTTCGAGCTGAGATGCTAGGGGAGGGCTGGGGAGTCATCCCCAGCAGGGGCTCCTGAGAGAATGGGCTCCTGGTAGGGGTGAGGTGTGGAGACACGTGAGACTCTTAAAGGGAGAGAGTTAAGCAGAGCCTGGATTCTTGTGGAATTGCGCCCTGGGGGAAGGAGACTGAGCTTACGGAGAAGGTGGTTGGTGACAGCTGGAGAGGTGGGTTGGTGACAGCTGGAGAGGTCAGGGCGATCCCCCCTGGGGTAAACCGTGCTTGAGGAGCTTCTGGAGGAAGCTCGTGACCCCTTGTGTTGGGTGCGCCCAGGCAAAACACAGCCACCGAGTTGCTGTGTGATCTTGAGAGTATGGCCTCACTGCCCTGAGCCTCAAGGTGAAATGTGTGGGTTGTGTGGTGGAGGTAATCCAGGCCCAGAGAGTGTCCTTTCCTGGAGGCATCCAGGCTGGAGCCAGACAGACAAGTCTGGGAGGTGCCAGTAGATGGATGCTCACTTTAAAGACTGGATCCAAGAGTCCCAGGACCGTTCTGGATGGACCAGGCTGCCAAGCTGACCCCCGCTTGATCCTAAGTGTGGCTTACTTGGATCCCCCAGGGTGTAGCTGGGTGCAGAGCACATAGTAGGTGCTTCATAAATGCGGATGGAAAGCATGAGGGGCAGAATGAGGAGCTGGGCACCTGGGGAGTGAGAGGCAGAGTTTTGGGGTTACCTTGAGCTCTGCCTTTTCATGGCCCCCTTACTTGGATGTTGGAGGCAGGGGCCAAGCTGCCAGTACCCGCTGGGGTCCTGGTGTCCTACGAGCTCACGCAGACCCCAGCAGCAGCTGGGAGGGATGCTGCTCAGGTCACACTTGCCCAGGTAACTGACTGAGCTGCTGTGACACCTCTGGGCGAGTGCATACTTGGGATCCTTCCTTCTAGACTAGGAGGGGTGAGGAGTTGGTGACTCTGGCTAAGCCATTGATGTCTCTGGGGCTTGGTTTCCTTACCTGGAAGACAACAGAGATACGTCTCTTGGGTGACTGCTCTGTTAACGGCCAGGTCATAGTGCCAGTTCACCTTCTTGGCCCTGGACCCAGGGCTGCTCCCCTGGGGTGGGTGGAAGTGGCAGGACTCTACAGGAGCTCAGGTGGACCCTCTTCCTTGGGACTCCTTGAGTGTGGGCCCTGAACTCAGAACCCAGAGGTGGCTCCCCCAAAACAGGACTGCTCCCCTCCCCCTCCCCCACAGTGTCCCCTGTCCATAGTCTTGGGTGCCAAGCCGGCTTCCTGGTGATGGGGTGAGGATGGTGACTGGGGTACTTCTGCTGCTAACACAGTGCTGGGCACTTGAGACTTGGTCATCAGAGCCGAGAGTTTGGGTTCTGGGCTCGTTTTCTGCCACTAAGTGGCCACATGACATTGGTGTAGCCCCTCAGTCTCGGTTTCCCCATCTGACAGATGGGGCTAATCATACCTCCCTAGAAAGGGAGGGACAGGCTCTGATAGACGCCCAGGAATGAGAAAGACCACCCCAACCTCCCAGGGATGGGAGACTGTGTCTTTGCTGCAGGCAGGATGCTGGGGAGCTGCAGGGCTACAGATGGGCTGTGAGATCTTGAGAAAGTCACCTAACTGTTCTGGGCCTTGGCTATCGTAAGGAGCTTGGATCTGTGAGGTCCTGCCTTTAAGGAGTAAGTCACAGGGAACTCCACGCTCTGAAATGGCATCTGAAGTATGGCCTAGGGGCTCCAGGGTCAAGAGCAGGAGAAAGGGGTTTTGCGACCTTCACTGTCACCTCCTCCTGGAAGCCCTCCATGATTTAACTACCTCCCACCTCCCCCTCAACAGATGGAAATGTCTTTCCTGCTGTCCCTTAATCAGCACATCTGTCTGTGGCACTCAGTAGAGTCCTGCTTGTCCTAGACTCTCCCCGCACGGGATTTGTGCTCAACAGGGCGGGGGAAGGGAAGCAAAATGAATTCAAGTGTGATGAGAAGGGGGCTTGGTGATGTGGCTGCCAGAATCTGTGCACATTGGGTGGGTCTGGGCCGGTGGAGCGCCTGGCACACGATAGGTGCTCACTGCATATGTGTTGGATGTTTGAGGGCTTGGGGTGTCAGATTCTTATAGGACTAAACAGGCAGATGTGAGGTGTGTGCCATGTGCCCTGCTCTACCTCAGTAGAGGAGGGAGCCCTCCACCCTTTCAGGCCTTGTGCCACCTCCGGTGGAGACACAGGGCTGGATTCCCTCCCTCATCAGGGCTGGGCTGCGCTGGGCTGGGCTGGCAGGCCCGGGGCTATGGCAGGGAGAGGCTTGGCCTGGCCCCCCTGCCTCAGGTGTTCTGACCTCCCTGCTTACCACCCTGAAGCTGTTCCTGACCTCCTCCTCCCTCCTACTGCCTGTCCTACCAGGCACACACCTGCTTCCCCCTTCCTGGAGCGGTCCAGGCCCACCCTCTCCTATACTGGGGGTCCCGCTTGGCTCACTTCCCGGCATTCTTCTGGTGCCACGTATGACACTGTTCTCCCATTCTTCTGGAACCCTCCCCTCCAGCCCCTCTGATGGCTCCTGTTCAGGTCTCCAGGCTGGCTCTCTGGCCCTCAGCTCCTCTCTCACCCATCCCTCATCCAGGCTCAGGGCTGCAGCTGCTCCCTCTGGGCTGGTGCCTCCCCTCAGCCACCACTTCCCAAATGCCTCAGCCACGCCCCTTACCTTCCCTGAAAGACCCCCTCCCAGTTCCTCAGTCATGTCGTGGGCACTGCTGTTCTTATTCACCTTGTCCTCCGTTTTTCATTATATTAATTACTGCAACTTTTGTTCTGTTCCCCTCTCCAGCCCCTGGTCCTCCCCTGATTTCCTCCCCACCCCCGCCCAAGTCTTTTGTCTCTGTGTGTCCCCTCCCAGCCCAGAGCCTGCCTGGCTAGAACAGCAGCCTTGGGTGGAACCGTACCACCACCACTCAAGCACTATCTCCAACTTCCTCAAACCCCCGTCTGCATCCTGCCTCGCTTCTCTGAAACCACCATTCATCCCCTTTCCGCCAGTCCTGACTTTTTTGGGTGACAGTTCACATGATGCACTAGTGCCTGGACTCTGGGTTCAGTTTCCCCACTGCCACTTCCTTGCTGTGTGTTCCAGCCAGGTCGCCATCCCTCTCTGAACCTCGGGTGCCTCGTCGTTCAAACTGGGCTGGCGAGAGCATCTCCCTGTAGCAGCATCGCAAGTTAACACATGATGACGTCTGTGGAGATGTGGAGTGGTGGGCTGGCGTGGACGTGAACAGGAGCTTGAGAATCTGATCTGTTTGTGGGTCTGGAGCTGAAGACTTGGCCACTCTGTAGGCTGAGCCTGGCTGGGCTTGCTGGTTGGTTGGGGACCCAACACACGAAACCTTTCCTGGGGCCCCTCTGGCCTCGTTACGAGAGTCACTTGCCTGTCAGCCTCAGTGTCCTCAGGGCTTACTGGACCGCCCATAAGTGTATGAGCGTGATTCTGAACTGGGCCCCTGTGCCATGGCTGTTCCTGAGCTGCGCCCTGGGTCAGAATTCCTGCAGACCAGACCAGCTGTAGTCGCCCTGGAACCGGGGCTTGGTGGCCCCAGGCAGAGGGTGAGGGTCGTAGTCTGCCCTCCCAACCCTCTCCTTCCCCTGGTTTTCAGTGCTTTCTTCACTGGCTTCCCCGCTGCTTGCTTAATGAACCCACTGTGCCTGTTAGCACAGGAGGGGTCTTTAACTCAAAGAGGTGACCTGGGCACTGGGGGGCAGAGAAGGGGAGGTTAGGGCAGAAGGACCCCATGGCTGGCTGGTTGGGCTGGGGCTGGGAAAGGGTATCCAGGACGCTACCTGGGTCCGTCTGGCCCCGGGAGTGGGCTCCGTTCAGGCCCTCCTGGCCCAGTGGGGTTGCTTTGTGACTGGGGACCATAGAATCCAGGGTGGGCCTCATTTCGCCATTTTTTCTGCTTGGGGACAAAAGCCCTGCTGGCCCTCCTAGGGGTGGCCTGGGGGGTGAGGATTGAGGTTACTGCTTTCCCCTGCCTTGTGTGTTTCCTGGGGAAGTCACCCAGTGGGGCCTTTCCTGTATGAACTGCCCTGGGCTCTAGGCCGCAGAGGTGGCTTCGGGATGGGAGATGTTGGCTGCCCCCACCTACCTCTGACCTTGACTCTTAGTATCTCCCACCCCCCTACCCGAGCAGACCCCTTCCTAGCCAGCCCTGCTGTGTGTCCTGGACACTGAACTCTGTGTCTGCAGGGAATGGGGTCCGAGATGGTTTGTGCACAGGGCCGTGGACCTGGACTGGAAGGGGAGGTGCACAGCAGGAGGACTCCAGTGGTAACCCGTGCTCGCCCAAGGAGTGAGCTCCCCAGCCCCCAGGCACTCACACCCGGATTTTCGGGCCTCTGGTCTAGGAGACTGAAGTGTGTGGAAGATAGCAGATTCTGGCTTGGGTGGACCCGAGGGGCCTGGGCTCCCTCCTTCGTCTGAACTTTGAGTCACGGGAGCTGCCTCATAGCCCAGAAGTGTGAGGGGCAGGGTCTGCAGATTTCAGTACAGAGTGGACCCTCCTTCCCTCCAGCTTCTGCACCCCTGGCCCAGGCATTGGGCATTTGGTGACCACAGGGTGGCCCTGCTGTTCCCACGCCTTCTGCCATGAGGATTTGCTCGTGGGCTTTTCCACCAGGGAGAGGGGGAGGGTATCACACTCTGTCTCAGGCCTCCCTGGACCACTGTTTCCTCTGGCTGCAAAATAGGGCGCCATCCCCCCAGAAGTAGGCCAAAGTGAGCCTGTTAGGAAAACGATGGGGGCTGTCTGGACGCACCCCCAGCCCGTGCCCTTGGGACCCGCTGGAGAGTCCTTCACTGTGGCCAGAGGCCCAGACCACCCTGGTGGACGAAGCTCAGGCCTCGTGGGAGGGGCTGGTGGCCTTGTTCCCCTAGGCAGGCGGTGTTGGCAATGTCAGGGTGGTCCTTGTTGTGGGGCTAGGTGTCTGAGACCTGGGATCCTGCCCTGTGCCCTGTGCTGTCCCTGAGTCAACCCCTGCCCTTGGCCTGTAGTTCCTGCTCATCCTATTGTAGTGGGCAGTCCCGAGATGGGGTCCCCACCAAGCCTGAGTGACTGTGGCCATTCTCTCAACTGAGAAAGTGGGGCTGGGGCCCAGGCCTCCAGGTTCCCACAGTGGGTACATCCCCAGGGCCTGGGGTTTCAGGTGCAGGACACAAGAGCCTGGGCAGGGATGGTGGAGGTGGTGGAGGCACCCGGCAGATAGCCCACTATTTACCTGGCGCTGTAGCCAGTGACTTCCTCATTGGATTCTCAGTGTGTCCCTGCAGGTTTTAACCGCCATCCCACAGGCGGGGAAGCAGGTTGAAAGAATTTCAGCAACTTTCCCAGGGGCTCGCGTGGACCCCAGGTCAGAGGCTGGCATGGACCTGGCCATGCCTGACTGGCCTGTGCTCGCAGCCACAGCTCCCCCAGTCCTGGCCTCCCTCCTGGGAGGCAGTTTCTCTGCCTGATCAGAGGCTGAGAAGCCAGTTTGGGCTGGAATTGGGTCAGATTTTCCTGTCACAGCCAGGGAGGAGCCTCCTGGATGCCCCTGGGTCCAGCGGCCCTTGATCCCAAGGCAGATGCAAAATTCTGTGGCCCACACCCCACCTGCCTGTCCGCTGTGGCTGGAGAGCTTTGGGCCTGGGCTGAAGACCTGGCCGCCTGTCCCACCAGTGCCACCGACTAGCTGTGTGGCCCTGGGCAAGTCCCATTACCTCTCTGAGCATCCGTCCCTCAACTGTAGAATGGGAACAATACCACGAATGCTGCTGAGAGTTTTGAATGAGATAACATGGGCAGAGCACCCTCATGAGTCCCCTGGGTGCAGACCCCAGCCTGGGGCTGCCACAGTACTGCCAGAGACCCCTAAGCTTCAGGGACACCCCCCTTCCCGACTAGACCCCCCCCCAAGCAAAGTATTAGGAAAGATCCCTGTCCGGCATAAACACTGTTGATGGAGCGGTGGGTGTGTGTTCCCACTTTATTCGTCAAAGCCCCACGTCCTAGCAAGGCAGGACCCAGCCCCAGGAACCTTGAGGCCACACTCGGGGCCAGTTCCAGCAGACGGCAGGCTGGGCTGGGCAGCTGGACAGGGCCATGCGGAGGGTCGGGAATGGGCTCATTGCTGGGGTCCCTGGGTGCCCTCTGTGTTACCTAAAGGCAAACTGAGGCTCCGGGGCTGCTTAGTGACTGTCCCAGGACCCAGAAGACAGGGAGGTGGGACCGGACAGACCCTGGCCTTGTGTTACTTCCCCTCCGCGATCCTGAATTTCATGACCCCTTGGCCCTGTCTTTCCTCCCTCCCGTGTGGGCCCCTCTTGGCCCCCTCCCCTCCACTTCCCCGCTGCTATCAGCAGCCCAGCCCCCAGCCTCGGCCCAGCCACTGCAGCTCAGAAGCTGCTGGCTCAGGAGCCGCCAGCTTTTGCTGAGTGAGCGAGTCCAGGGTGCTGTCTTGGCACAAACCACCACGGCCCAGCCCGCTCCTCCCCTCCCTCCTCAGGGTCTGCTGCGAAGGGGGGCGCGTGGATGGGAGGTGGGCAGCGGCTGGCGGCCCCCACCCCGCACCGCCTCTAGGGTCTTCAGCTTCAGAGGGAGGAGGGTCCTGAGGCCCAGAGAGAGGGGGTGTTTGCCTGAGGTCACAAGGCAGACCAAGCAGAGAGCTGGGACTGCCCTCCTGCATGGTCCAGAGAGCAGGAAGTGGGGCTGCCTTGCCTAGGCTGTTTGCAGAACCTTCCTGCCTCAGCCGGCCCTGCCTGCCCTGGCTAGGCCCTTCCTCTCTGGTCCACCCTAAATGGCGTCGAATTTGCATAAACTATGCATGAGCCATAGCAATGAAGGCAGTTCCCACTTAATCATCTCGCGTGCCAAGGTTTTCTGCACATCTCTGATCCACTCAGTGACCCTTGAGGCAGGGCCGTTGGGATTGTCCCCGTTTTATATAGGGGGAAACTCGGGCTCTCGACATGCTCGCATTTACAGCATCTGCTGGGCAAACGAGCACCTGCTGTGGTCCTGGGCCGGAGGGGATGGTTGACAAAGATGAATGAGTCCTGTCCTTGCCCCCAGGAGACCCTGTGCTTGGTCATTCTGCCCTTGTGACAACCCCCGTGATGGCCTATTTTACAGATGGGGAGACTGAGGCCCAGAGTGGCAGGTGCATTGCCCAAGGCTGGTCCCTGGCCTCAGCTCTCTAGCTCTCCAGGCCTCGGGACACCACCCTGTATCTGCTCTTTGCCTCACAGCCAGCCCCACCCGGACGAGGGCCACCCACCGCCCCTTGAAGCTGTCCCAGTCCCCTGGAAAAGTGTGGGCCCCTGCAAAAGCCACAGGGATTCAGGCCTGGTGGAGACCCCTGCAGGGAAGGAAGCCCAAGGCGAGGAGGACCCTGCGGCCACCCGGCTGGACATGTTGCGTCTGCGCAGCTCTTCCATGGAGATCCGAGAGAAGGGCTCAGAGTTCCTGAAGGAGGAGCTGCACAAAGCCCAGAAGGTGGGCTCTGAGGGCGGGGGCGGAGTGGGGGGGTGGGTGAGGGGCCGGCCTGAGGGGCCGTGGGCTTTCACCCAAAGCCCAGAGACGTCACGTTCCTGTCAAGGCCACCTACATGCCAGGCCTGTGCTGGGCAGGAGGGCAGCCCAAACAAAGGAGAAACAGTTTTTCTTGTGACTTTTAAACGACTTTTAGAAGTCATGACATCTCTGAAAACCGTTCCCAGGCTCTAACAAACTGACGGTTGGGGTTCAACTTCACGCTCTGAGCTAAATGGAAAAAGCATATTCTAATCTGTAGAAGCGCAGAGGAGGCAAGCTCGGGGCCCTGAGGCGCAAAGTAAGGCGGCCGCGGGAGTGGCGCCAGGCCCAGGGCCGCTGGGGGGCTCACAGCGCCCTCCCTCGTGCCCACGCCCGCCCCGCAGGAGCTGAAGCTGAAGGATGCGGAGTGTGAGCGGCTGTGCAGGGTGCGCGGGCAGCTGGAACGGGAGCTGGAGGAGCTGACGGCCAGCCTGTTCGAGGTGCGGGGCGGGGCGGGGTGGCGGGCAGAGGGCGGGGCAGCTGGGCGTCCGTCCGCGCCTGTCCCTCACGTGGAGCCCGCCGTCTTCCCAGGAAGCCCACAGGATGGTCCGAGAAGCCAACATGAAGCAGGCGGCGTCAGAAAAGCAGCTGAAGGAGACGCGGGGCAAGGTGAGGCACGCGCCGGCCCAGACCTCCTGCCCACTTCTGAGCCCTGCGAGCGCCGGCCTCCGCCACCCGATCGGACCCTCGCATGGACTGGGGGGCCAGCAGGGAGGGGCAGAGGCATCCGAGATGGCCCCACTGAAACGTTCCCGCTGGAGTGGGAGCCCAGCTCCCTGGGACTCGAGCTGTGTTTCTGCTGTACCACGGAGACCTTTCTGGGGGCCTTTTCAGGGGCTGGGAGGATCCTGTGGCCTTTGTAATTTCTTTTCCTCCGTCCCATACCCCCTTTACAAAGCAGAAACCTCAGTCTGGCTGTGTGAGCCTGGGCAAGTAGCTTTATCCCTTGGAGCCCATTTACCCATCTGTAAAATGGGAGGGCTGGGCTGTTCCTGGCTCCTGGGGGCCCCTCAGTGGGAGACCCAGCCAGCTCCCAGATACGTGCACCTAACAGAGTCCTGGCTCCCAGTATGACCTCAGCCAGGCTGTGTCTCCTCTGAGCCTCAGTTTCCCTATCTATGGAAAGGGTATCTCGGCCCCCAACCCAGAGGCTGTTCCGAAGATAACGGGTGGAGTTAGGTGCTCAGGGTGGTCTTTCCTGAGCTGGGGTGGCAGGCAGTGGCAGCCGGGGCAGCCTCAGCCCTGGGTTAATATTGAAAGCCGTCCCTCCCGGCCAGATCGACATGCTGCAAGCAGAGGTGACAGCCTTGAAGACACTGGTCATCACGTCCACACCAGCCTCTCCTAACCGCGAGCTCCACCCACAGCTGCTCAGCCCCACCAAGGCCGGACCCCGCAAGGGCCACTTGCGTCATAATAGCACCAGCAGCGCCCTCTGCCCCGCCGTGTGCACCGCGGTAGGACACGCCCCCAGCCCGGACAAGGAGGGCAAAGAGGTGAGGGGCAGCGGGCAGGCAGTGGTCACAGGAAAGGGAGGCAGTGCCCACTGTCAGCCAGGCAGCGGTGCCCAGTGGGGACCCGCCTGGACCCCGCTGTGTGACGGGGAGCGTGTCCTACCCTCTCTGGGCCTCTGTGTCCTCTGGCTGTGAGGGCTGCCCGAATTCCCTGTGATAGGAGGTGTTGGGCCCTCAGTAGGGTACGTGGGGCACCTGGTCCAGGCGGGACAATGGCTGTGATGTCCTTGGCCATGGGTCTTTGGGCAAGTGAAGCCGCCTGTCAGCACCTCAGTCTCCTCACGTAAATGGGGTTTCCTGGGGCCACAGGACGTGGGTGTCAGGAGCTCAGCTCAGGGCTGCACCCAGCGGACGCCCCTGAAGGCTGTAGTGGGATTCAGCTTCCTGGAGTCTCTGATGCCAAGGTGGCCCCAGCTCTGCCCTGCCCCAGGCCTCCCGAGCATCCAGGGAGGAGGTGCGGGCCAGGCCTCTCCATCCCCTTCTGAGCTCTAAGCTTCCGGCTGGACTCTAATAATCTCCTTCCTCTGCCTGTGTCTGTGCACCTGTCTGTCTGTCTGTCCTGCCGGCCCAGCCCGGGCTGCCCCCTCTCCTCTCCCTGCTCCTCTGCGTGATCCCCAGCAAGGCGGTTCACCTCACCTACGAGCCGGCCTGGCAGCTCCCACCTGGGGAGCTGCCCGTGGGCCCCACCTCTGCTACCTCTCTCTCCTTTTCCCAACAGGTAAAGGCTCCAGAGAGGGGCTGCTCCCTCTGCCCCCTCCCAGCCTCTCCCTCTGCATGTGCCCCAGGGCAGCCAGCAAGTTGTGTGTGTTCCTTTCCGTGTGTGCATGCCTGTGTGTGCTGTGCGTCCCGTCAGGTCCCTGTGTGTACCTGCGGGTACCTGCAGCGTCACTCTTCAACTTACCCTCCTCAAGGAGGCAGCGAGGGTCTTCAGAAGGAGACCCTGGACCCAAGTCTAATTCTCTAGGCCAAGAAACTGGCAACACACCTCCAACACACTTGGAAGTGAAACTTTTGAGTTCCGAATCTAAATTCTTCTGTGCAAGGGGAAGAGAAGAGTTCTTCTTTGGGACTCGGGTCCCCTGCATGGCTACAGGGGACAGGCCCGCTGGGGCCTGCACTGCATCCTCCCTGGCTCCCCTCCCTCCTGGGGCTCTGCCTGTCTCTGCCATGCTGGCCCCCCAGTGCCCTGCCCCCCACCACCGGCTCACCTTCCCCCACAGGTGGACACGACCCTGTTTGCAGAGTTCCAGGCCTGGAGGGAATCGCCCACCCTGGACAAGACCTCCCCCTTCCTGGAAAGGGTGTACCGGGAGGACGTGGGCCCCTGCCTGGACTTCACCATGCAGGAGGTGAGGCAGACAGAGGGTGGCCCGCTGGGGGGCCTGGCCCTGCAGCCGGCGGCCAGCCCCTCACCACCTCCCACTCCACCCTGCTCTACCGCAGCTCTCAGCCCTGGTACGGGCCGCCGTGGAGGACAACACACTCACCATCGAGCCCGTGGCTTCACAAACACTGCCCGCGGTGAAGGTGGCCGCTGTCGAGTGTGGCCGCACCAAGTAAGCTTAGCGCCCTGCCCCCTGGGAAAGGCCCACATAGCCTTGGGCTGCACCAAGGGGGTGGCCAGGGAGGACTGAGCCTCAGGCCTGCCTGCTGGGTCCTGCAGTGGGACCTGGGGTTGGGCAGGGGCACCTGACCAGAGAGGGACAGTGGCTGCCTCCGCGCAAGGCAAGGAGGCATCTTTGGCAGACATGCTGCCTCTAGTCATGGAGCCGGGGTCTCCCCCTTCCTGGCTGGCCTGACGTGCATCTCTCTCCTACCCCCTCTCTCCCACAGTGGGTTCCGGGCCCCGATTGACACGTAAGTGACGTCATTTTTCACTCCACCTCCTGACAATGACCCGATGGCCCTGGCATCTTGTCCTCCCTGCTTTTCAGCTGGCATTGGGCAGGGCCAGCAGCAGAGCAAAGCTGCCAGCATGGAGCAAGGGCAGGGACTGGGGCCTGCGAGGGAGGCCCCTGGGTGGGAGCCTTGTCACAGAGGGGAACATTTGAGCCGGGTTTTGAAAGACGAATAGCAGTTTGCTGAGCAGGGAAGGACCTTTCAGGCAGAGGCAACAGCATGAGTGGAGGTATGAGAAGCTGGAATATTAATGGAAACACCACTAGATCGGTGGGCGGAGCAGTGGGGTGGGTGGGCATGGGGTTGGGGCTGAGGCCATAGAGGGCGTTTGGGGCCAGAGTGTGAAGGCCTCAAATGAGGTTTGGGCTTTAACCCACTGAGGCCAGCATTTCACAAATCATCGATTAACGTTCCCTGAAAAGAGGGTTCCCTGGTCCAATCAGAGTCACAGTGAACCTGGAGGCAGCAAAGGCTCTGATAAGTCCTGCAACCAAGGAGCCTATTTAACCTTCCTTTACTCGGGATTCCCCATAACTATTTCCTGGGCAGTAGGGAAGCAGCAGGGAAAGAAAATGGGCTAGATGTGGGTTTTTGGAGTAGCCCCTGGCTGTAACATGGAGAAGAAAGGCAGAGATGAGGCAGAAGTCTGGTTGGAAGGAACTGAGGGCATCCGGGCAAAAGGTCCTATTGGCAGAACCTAGCCTGGGGACTTGGTGACCTAAGTGGAGGAGAGAGAAGACTCCTGCTTAGGAGGAAGGGGTGACTGGGTCTGAGGGCCCCAGTAAAGTAGGAGCAGCATTTTTAGGGACGGCAGAGGGTAGAGCTTTGGTACACCTGGCCTGAGGTCGACCAAGCTCTCCTGCCCAACAGGGGTGAGGTGAGGGGTTGAGGGATGGGGTCCAGCTTGCTTTAAAGGTCTCCCCCAGGGACTTCTGAGACTGCCCTCCTCCTTGGCCTGGCTCCAGGCTCCTTGGGAAGCTGGGACCAGGGGAAAGGATGCCAGGCCCCACCCTGATGTGTGTTTGCCTCCCCCTCCCTCTGTGCCTTCTCTGGCTGCTGCATCCTCCCCAGATGAGCTGGGTGGGCAGGCCCCAGCCGTCCCCATGGTCCTGAGATCTGCTTTTCCCTAGTACATGTGCCCTGAGTGGCCTGGCCTGCGCCTGTCGTCACCGAATCCGGCTTGGGGACTCCGAGAGCCACTACTACATCTCACCGTCCTCCCGGGCCAGAGTGAGTCATCCAATGGGAGTGTTACCTGGCTCCTTAGAGGCTCCCTGGGCTGGGACTCTGAGCCCCAGGCTGCACAACCTACAATCTACAGAGCAGGGCACAGGCTCAGAGAGGTACGAGAATGACTTGGGCCACACAGACAAGCCAGTGTATTTGTTTGCTGTTGCTGTGTGACAAGTTACCGTAAACTTAGTGGCATTGATTTATTATCTCACAGACTCCCTGGGTAGGAGTCTGGGCACAGCTTAGCTGGGTCCTCTGCTCAGGGCCTCATGGACTGCAGTCACGGTATCAGCGGCTGCATCCTTTCTGGAGCTCAGGGTCCTCTTCTGAGCTCACATGTTGTTGGCAGAAGTCAGTTCCTTGTGGAAGGACTGAGGTAGCCATTTTCTTGCTTGCTGAAAAGTAATCATGGGAGTGACACCCATCAGCTCTGTCATTTAATATAACCTAATCAAGGGAGTGACACTAGAGTTCCAGGCTCCTGACTCCTGGCTCCGGCCCCGGGCTTTGGAGAAGGTTCTGAGGCTTGTCTGTCACACAAGGCTGACAGTCAGCTGTGGGCTCTGAGGGGCCTCCAGGAATCCCAGCTTCTGCCCTCACCTGCCGAGTGACCCAGGTGAGGGTCAGTGGATCAAGCGGCCTCACTGAGCTGGGATGAGGGTGGGGTGGACCCCTTTCCTCTGTCCCTTCAAAGACAGTGAAGAAGATTGGAAAGAACAAAAGTTTGGAAAACTCTGAAGCTTGGTGCAAAGGTGACGTGGTGTGGAAGGTCCTCTTAGAGGAACCGTCTCCTCCCCTTGACCTACTAGAGGTGCCTGATCGGACTAAAGTAGATTGACCAGCACGGTCAGCTTGTCTGGTCCTGACAGCCTCTGCAGGGCAGCCCAGCATGTTGTTCTGGCAAATCCCCCAGCAGCGAGCTGAGCTCCCATTAGAGAGGGCGTCTGAGCCTTAGAAAGGAAAGGGGTGCACCCCAGGCCACTCAGCCTAGACCTGAGGTCTCCCCATCCTGGATCCAGTCTCTTAACTGCTGCAGTCTCCACCCCCTGCATCTGTGCCCAGAGCCTTGTTTGGTGGCCATGGGTCACCTCTGTTTTTTTCTGATCCCAACCAGGGGATCTGTGCCAGACGCTCCCATGCCTACAAAATAACATCTAGAACCTTGTTCTGCCAGGCCTACGTGTCTGCTGTCCTGGGCAGAGCTGGGAAGGCAGAGGGGAAGGGTGTGAAGTTCTAGGATGTGGTCCCCACCCTGATGAGACCAAGGAGTGTGGAATCCATAGGGAGAAGAAAGTTCTGTCCCCAAAGCGCAGCCCTGGGGAGAGAGCCCCACTGCTCCCCACCATTCCCTAGTCACGGGCCTCTGGTAGGGCCTACTGGCCATTGAGCAACGCCAGGGCCTGGGACTCAAGCTTCTCCTGCCCATCCCATCCGGCCCTATGCAGCCGCTCCTCAGCCCTCCCAGGCGGCACCTTTGCCACACTGGGTTAGTCCCCTCACCTGGCCTCTCTCACACCTCCCTGCCTTTGCCAGGGCCACCAACCCCCTGCACCCAATTTTGTCCTCCTGGCAAGGGCTCCTGTGTGTTTGAGGGCCCAGCAGGAGCATCGCCCCTCCCTCAGCTTTCTCCACTCCTCAGCCTGTGGCCCCCACACACTTGATGTCCCTCCCCCAAAGTGCTGGGTATTCAGCATGGGCAGTTGTGGGCACAGCTGCCAGCTGCCTTCCACCCTGCTTTGGGTTGGGTACCCTAGAAGCAGAGCCTAAGATGGAGATGGTGTGCAATTCTCAGGAGGCAGAATGGGGGTGGGGGGAAGGACAGGCAAAGGTGAGGCTTCAGCTGGAGTCTGGCTTCAGCCTGATCCGCAGGGGCTCTGGAGCCCAGAGTGGGTTCCACCCAGAGGCACGGGCGTGGCCTTTTATACCCAAGATGCCTGTCAGTCATTGGCTGAAGTCTGTGAGGGTATGGGGTGCAGAGGGGCACCAGCAGCCGACATTCTCAGCAGTGGGGAGATGGGGCCCCAGCCTGGGGAAGGGGCCTGGGAAGGGCACTGACAGTGCCCTCTCAACGGTATGAGAGTCTTCGTGACAGAGATCAGGTCTGAGCCAGCTCAGGGTCCCCAGTGCCTGGCGCAGGGCCTGGCTCGGAGCAGGCCTCAGGTCAGACTGGGGGCTTCAGGTGGGGATCCAGGGCAGCCAGGTGAGCAGCTTCTGACCCCCTCACCTTTCCTGGCATTACGAATAGCACCTGGTAAGGCCTGGCTGGCCGGGGCCTCCAGTAGCCAGAGCGAGCAGGCCCCTCAGGAGAGCGTGGATTCTAGGCAGCCTGCCCGGTTTCATCTTTGCAGCTCAGCCACTTAATAAGTGGAGGCTCCATGGCCTCTGCAGTCGTTGTGGGGTCGTTCTTGGAGCCTCAGCTCTCCCCACGTGTAGACTGGGAATGATAGGCACGTCTGCCGCACCGGATACGCGTACTTGATTACGCTTAGTTGTCGCTATCGTTTTTATTAGGAGTACTAGTATTGCTGCTGTTGACTGCAACGTTAGAGCCCAGAGTTATCTGAGTCTCACAGGACGTGGGTCTTCCCGCTCTGGTCTGCGATCTGACCTGGCTTTTTTTGGGGGGGGGAGGGGGCAAGTGTGAGGGCCGGGGGGTCACACCCTGCCCCCTCTGCCCACAGATCACGGCCGTGTGCAACTTCTTCACCTACATCCGCTACATCCAGCAAGGCCTGGTGCGGCAGGACGGTGAGCGCCCCCTGGTGGCCGCTGGGGGTGGCGCCTGGGAGGGGAAGGGCGGGGCGGGGCGGCCGGGCCAACCCCAGGGCTTTGCTGCCCCCCGTCGGAGGAGGACTCTGCGAGAGAGAAGGTCGTAGATTAGCAAAGCGATCCGGAAGCTCCTGTTGCTGAGCCCTGTGGAGAGAGGAAGAGCGGAAGGAGCCTCCTGGGCTCTGCCTTACCGGGAAAACCAGCCTGGTGCCCCCACATACCTGGATCCAGCTGCTTTTTCCCGTTCAGAAACCTCTCCAGCCCCCCGGGCCTGTAGCGACGGCATTCCTGTTACTGGCCTGGCCTACACGATGGGGCCTCCCCTGTGAATCTCCTCCCCTCTCCCGCCGCGTGGACCTCCAAGTGGTGGCTGGACACGGCTCGCCCACCTCCCCCTGTAGACACTCCCCGCCCTTGCCCAACAGGTCCTCTGTCCACCCGTTGTCCCCCTGCCTCCATTCTGCCAGGCCAGGGACGGGCCCTGTGCAGGGTCGCTGGAGAGCCCCGGGAGCAGGGGTTGGAGAGCATTTGCAGTCTGTCCGAGTGTGTGGCAGTGTATACATGCGTGTGCGTGTCAGGCTGTGGAGGTGACCGTCACCTCCATGCCTCCCGGGCTGCAAGCCCCCAGAGTGGAACCTCAAAGAGGTCCAGCTACTCACTGAGATCTGTCCTCAGGGACTGGGGAGTCCTAGGGTGCCCACCAGCTGCCCTGCCCAAAGCTGGGGGAGAGGCCAGGCCATCTGCCTGAGGCAACCCTGAGTGGGCACTGAGCTGTCCACCCTCTGTCTGCCTGCAGCGGAGCCCATGTTCTGGGAGATCACAAGGCTGAGGAAGGAGATGTCGCTGGCCAAGCTTGGCTTCTTCCCCCAGGAGGCCTAGGTCATGGCCCAGGCCTGGAGGGGGGCTCTGAGCTGGAGCCAACACCTGCCCCAGGAGAGACAGACAGATAGACGGGGTCCTAGAGCCAGCCCTGAGCCAGAAGCTGAACAGAGGGACAAATGGCCAGGCCATGGAGGCAGCACTAAGCCGGCAGCAAATGTCCATCCCAGGACAGGACCTCAGGAGGTGACCTCTCCCCCCTCGTAGTACTACAGCCACCAGGAGACTTTCAAGAAAGCACCAAAGACCAAGGAGCTGGGAGCCGTACAAAGGGGCTCAGCCCTTGGGAGGGCACCCCTGGGACAGCCAGCACCCCCTCCCCAGTCCTAGGAGCTGCTGCCTGCAGGTGCCTCACTGGCGAGATCTCCAGGGTATCTCCGCACCCCCGCCTTTCCTAAGCCCTGGGCACCAGCACCCCCTTGTGGCCATCCTTCACCTCGTTCCCAGGTGGGCCTGCTGTGCCCAAGGGCCAGAGAGCTAGGAGGAGCGGACGGGGCGGACGGGGGCCTCGCTGGCTGTCTTCCACTCCATCCTGTATCTGCCTGACAGTGACCCCAAAACATTCTTAAGATGTATCAGGGGCCCTCCTCTTGCCCGCCCGCTCGACCTTCCTCCTTCCCGCCAGCTGAGCCCAATGCTGCAAGGAGCCTTCGCCCCCACCACTGCTGGGAGGATTGGGGCACTTTCCTCCCAAAGTAAAACACAGACAGGCCTCAGGATGCCCGGGCCTGTTTTCAGCTGTGGATGGCCATTCCGACGATGGAGGCTGAGATCGCCCAGCCCGGTACACAGGACTGGGGTGGGGCAGGCAGGACCCGGGCCCCTCCTCCCCCCTCGCAGCCTACTCAGTACCGGGGTCCAACCTGGACACATCCCTCACCACGTCCGATTTCCTCCTCTGAATGGAATGTAACGCGATCTCTATTTAATAAAGGACGGCTTTGTTGGTAGAGGCCAGGCAGCCACGCGCCTTCACTCCTGCGCCCTGGGGCTTGGGCCAAGGCTTGGGCATCTGAAGGAATGAAACAAAATCCTTTCCTTGCCCGCCCTCGTGCTTGGGATTAAACCCAAATCCTGAAGGGATTGCTGGAGGGAGCACCAACCGAGTCCTCCCCAGTGTTCCTGGGGCAGTAGGTTATTGGGGGATGAGCCCAGCTCCCTCTCCCAAGAAGTGGTTTGCTGTCAGGAGAACGGGGGCTCTGTCACTGCCTCACAGGGGATCTTGGGCAGATCCCCTTGCCATCTCCCTGCCAAGTGTCACGGAAGCCTGGAGCTCAGAGTCAGAGCATCAAGGCTGCCTGGTGTGTGCGTGCGTGCAGGGCAAGGCAGGATTGATTGGTGATGTCTGCCAGCAGCACAGCAAGGCCTGTGGTAGCTCTGGTTTTCCCCGCCCTGGTCAAGGGACAGTAGTTAGAGGTGGAAGAAGGTGGAGTCGCCCGGTCCTCTGAGAACCCAGGGTAGGCCTTGGGAGGTGCCTTGTGGGGCCTGATCCCCTCCCCACAAGTAGGGATGTGGGCCCAGGCCAGTTGGTGTCCTTCCTTGTGGGGGTGGGGCGTAGCAGCTTCTGGGTCAGTATTTACTGGGGCTGGTGATCCCTCGAGGGGACTTGTCTGTTGGCCTGAGACCTTGGGGCCACTTAGCTGGTAGGTCGAGGCCCCCCCACCCTATCACTCTCTCCAGCCAGTAGCCTTTTCCCTCTTGCTCTCCCGCCTCCAAGACTCTCCCTCTCTTCCCAGCCCTCCCCCCTACTCCACTTGTGATTTGAATCCCTTCTGTCTCCCCAGCCCCCTCGGATGTTCACTGGTTAGGCCTCCTGTCACAGATGTTCATTCATTCACTCAACAAACGCTGGGCAACTCATATGCCAGACACTTTTCCTGGTGCAGGGGGTACCTCGCTTGAGCTGAGACTCTCACGGGGAGACTGGCAATAAAAACAATGCACGGGTGACATCCACGGTGTCAGATGGAGGAAGGAAAACAAGGAAGGCGATGGAGGATGTCAGGGAAGGGTGTATCCTGCCGCATTATATGGGGTCACCTATGTCCTCTCCTGCATACCAGTCTCTTTCTGTCCTGGGTCAATCCTGGGTCAGCCAGGGGACAAGGGAGGATGAAGGTCTGGGCCCTGGAGCTGCCCGTTCCTGCCCTGAGCTTCTGTGCTCCCGGTCCAGCCACACCCAGCGCCAAGGAGACACCAGGCAACAGTTCAGGCAACCTGGCAGAGAATCCCCACGGCCAGATGTGCTCAGCCTGACCCTGCCAGGTGAGCAAACAGTAGCGGAGATGCCTGGGGGGTGCCTGTGACCCTTACACTCTGGCGTCAGTGTCTCCCAACAATACATAATAGCTGAGCACTTACTGTGTGCCGGGGCTAGTTCCAGACCCTTTAAGTGAACGAATTCACTTAATCCTCAGGACAACCCTATGAGGTACTGTTTTCCTCATTTTGCAGATGAAGTGACTGAGGCACCACGAGGTCATACAGGAAATGGTGGCCCCAGAATGGGAATAAATGAGCCCAGCTCCAGAGCCCACGGTATTAGCCAGCTTCCTAGATGCTTTATACTCACCACCTGCCATGTCCCAGATGCTGCATTAGGTCCTTCCCTGTTTTTCAGGGATGTAGAAACAGGCTCAGGCAGTGGCGGAGCAGAATTTTAATCTAGGTTTGTTTCTCACCTTTACCCCGTGAGGGGTGCCCTCACCCCTGCTCTGCAGGCTTCTGGGGGTGGGTATGGGGGGAGCTCAGGGCTTTGGCTTTTGGAGTTGGGGGGCGGGGAAGGTTAGCTCACATCAGCCACACAGGAGTTGTTCCTCTTAAGTGAATTTTCTAGATAACCCACTCAGGTCTCTCTAAGTAGTGCCGCACAGGTGGCCACCTCTTACAAGCCAGCACCAACCACAGTCTCCAAGCCTGAGCCCAGCCCCACCCTGGCCTCAGACGTTGTGCTGCTGTGTCACATTTTACCATCTGCCAAGCCTGTACCAATTTGGTCCTGCCGGGGTTGTGTACCCGGGCAAGTCACTGCTCTCTGGGCTTCAGTTTTCTCATCTTTGACTTGGGAATATCAGACTAAATGACCTTTGCAGCCCCACTCTTTCCCTTTTTTTTTTTCCATTTATTTTATTGTGGTGAAAACCCACACAGTTGACCATCTTAGCAATTTTTCATCGTATAGTTCAGTAATGTTAAGTATATTTGCATTGTTGTGAAACAGATCTCCAGCACTATTTTTTTTTTTTTGTGGTACGCGGGCCTCTCACTGTTGTGGCCTCTCCCGTGTGGAGCACAGGCTCCGGACGCGCAGGCTCGGTGGCCACGGCTCACGGGCCCAGCCGCTCCGCGGCATGTGGGATTTTCCCAGACCCGGGCACGAACCCACGTCCCCTGCGTCGGCAGGCGGACTCTCAACCACTGCACCACCAGCACTATTTTATCTTTCAAATCTTAAACTGTGTACCCATTAAACAAATCCCCTCCCCCATCCCTGGCCACCACCATTCTATAACTACTTTAGAGATTTTATATAAGTGAGGTCATGCAGTATTTGTCTTTTTATGACTGGCTTATTTTATTTAGCATAATGTCCTCAAGGTTCATCTGTTTTGTAGCCTGAGACAGGATTTCCTTCCTTTTTAACGCTGAATAATATTCCATTGTATTCATAGACCACGTTTTGTTTATCCACCCTCTGTTGATGGACATTTGGGTTGCTTCTACCTCTTGGCTATTGTGAATAATGCTGCTATGAACATGGAAGTACAGATATCTGTTTGAGACACTGCTTTCACTTCTTTTGGATATTTAGAGGTGGGATTCCTGGATGATATAGTAGCTCTTTTTAAAAAAAAAAAATTATTTATTTATTTGTGGCTGCATTGGGTCTTCGTTGCTCTACGCGGGCTTTTCTCTAGTTGCGGTGAGCAGCGGCTACTCTTCGTTGCGGTGTGCGGGCTTCTCATTGCGGTGGCTTCTCTTGTTGTGGAGCACGGGCTCTAGGCGCGTGGGCTTCAGTAGTTGTGGCACGAGGGCTCAGTAGTTGTGGCTCGCGGGCTCTAGAGCGCAGGCTTAGTAGTTGTGGCGCACAGGCTTAGTTGCTCCGTGCCATGTGGGATCTTCCCTGACCAGGGCTCGAACCCGTGTCCCCTGCTTTGGCAGGCGGATTCTTAACCACTACACCAGCAGGGAAGCCCCCATATGGTAGTTCTATTTTTAATTTTCTGAGGAAACTTCATACTGTCTTCCGTAGCAGATGCACCATTTTACAATGCCACCAATAGTGTACAAGGGTTCCAATATCCTTGCTAACACTTGTTTCACTGGTGTTTTTTGATAATAGCCATCCTAATGGCTGTGTGATATCTTATTGGTTTTTTTTTAATTGACGTATAGTTGGATTCCAATATTGTGTTAATTACTGCTGTACAGCAAAGTGACTCATTTATACGTATATACACATTCTTGTTCATATTCTTTTCCATTATGGTTTATCACAGGATATGGAATATATTCAATAGTTCTCTGTGCTATACAGTAGGACCTTATCCTACTGTTGTTTATGCGTTCTATATATACCAGTTTGCATCTACTAATCCCATACTTTTCCACTCCTACCCTCTCCCACCCCTCGGCAACCACCAATCTATTCTCTATGTCCCTGACTTTGTTTCTGTTTTGTAGGTAGGTTCATTTGTGTCATATTTTAGATTCCGCATATAAGTGATATCATATGGTATTTGTCTTTGTCTTTCTTACTTCATTTAGCATGATAATTGCAAGTTGCATCCATGTTGCTGCAAATGGCAGTATTTCCTTCTTTTTTATGGCTGAGTAATATTCCATTGTCTATATGTACCACATCTTCTTTATCCATTCATCTGCCAATGGACATTTAGGTTGTTTCCATGTCTTAGCTATTGTGAATAGTGCTGCTATGAACATAGGGGTGCATGTATCTTTTTTTTTTCTTTTGTATAAAACACAGTCCCTACCATTTATTTATTTATTTATTTTTATAAATTTACTTATTTTATTTTATTTACTTTTGGCTGCTTTGGGTCTTTGTTGCTGCGTGCGGGCTTTCTCTAGTTGCAGTGAGCGGGAGCTACTCTTCATTGTGGTACACGGGCTTCTTATTGCAGTGGCTTCCCTTGTTGCAGAGCACAGGCTCTAGGCACGTGGGCTTCAGTAGTTGTGGCTCGCGGGCTCTAGAGCACAGGGTTAGTAGTTGTGGCGCACAGGCTTCGTTGCTCCACTGCATGTGGGATCTTCCCGGACCAGGGATCAAACCCGTGTCCCCTGCATTGGCAGGCGGATTCTTAACCACTGCACCACCAAGGAAGTCCCACATGTATCTTTTTAAATTATAGTTTTGTCTGGATATATGCCCAGGAGTGGGATTGCTGGATCATATGGTAATTCTATTTTTAGTTTTCTGAGGAATCTCCATACTGTTTTCCACAGTGGCTGCACCAACTTAAATTCCCACCAACAGTGTAGGGGTGTTCCCTTTTCTCCACACCCTCTCCAGCGTTTGTTATTTGTAGACTTTTTTTTTTTGTAGACTTTTTAATGATGGCCATTCTGACTGGTGTGAGGTGGTACCTCATTGTAGTTTTTTGTTTTGTTTTGCTTTTTAAATTAATTAATTTATTTTTGGCTGTGTTGGGTCTTCGTTGCTGCGCGCGGGCTTTCTCTAGTTGCGGCGAGTGGGGGGCTACTCTTCTTGCGGTGCACAGACTTCTCATTGTGGTGGCTTCTCTTGTTGTGCAGCACGGGCTCTAGGCGCACGGGCCTCAGTAGTTGCGGCATGTGGGCTCAGTAGTTGTGGCTTGGGGGCTCTAGAGCACAGGCTCAGTAGTTGTGGCGCACGGGCTTAGTTGCTCCATGGCATGTGGGATCCTCCCAGACCAGGGCTCGAACCCGTGTCCCCTGCATTGACAGGCGGATTCTTA